ATCCTAACGAAGCCATTGAATGAATAATGGTGAAGATGAATGATAATCAGTAGATTGACATGACATCCCAATTTTCGTTTTGGATTTCACTCTAGACTGAGGATTGGTCATGATTCCATCATCACACCCCAAGAGGCATGATGGAGAGCCCTCAAGGAGCTCTCCATCATCCCCTTTAAAGGTGTGATTTTTAGTGGAGCTCTCCATCATGCCTCTTAAGGGTGTGATTTTTTAGTGGAGCTCTCCATCATGCCTCTTAAGGGTGTGATTTTTTAGTGGAGCTCTCCATCATGCCTCTTAAGGGTGTGATTATGGAGCGTGAAAAGACCCCCTATGGTGTCCTAGGAGAGTCATTAGTAGTCCTCCTCTACTTTTCAAATCTGAAAGCCTGCACCATGAATGGTTATATACCCCAAAGCTATAAACATGTAACTATGTACAATAGTCTATCCATTTATTTAGTCACACTGTATAGCATTAGCAATATAGGAAGATAAATAATAATTGGGATAGTTCCAGTGAACTATGCCTGTAAAAACTATTAATTAATCCTTTTGTGTGTTATCAAAGCGTCGCAATATGTATGCCATTATAAGCTGACCATTAAAATAGTTTGTGTGTGATGTACGTATAAGTGGGGCTTATATCTGCCATCAGTGGGTGTGGTGCATTCTGGTTCAAACTGATCGTAAAATTGGCTAATACTAAAGTAATAGCACCTAAATTCCAAAGTATGCCATTTGAAGTACTGAGCACTGCTGATCACTTGTTCTACAATGCCTTAAGGCACCAATGCTGAGATCCTGCTTCTAGTATTGTTGCATTAGCATATATATTCCTAGTAAGTAATAACCTCGATCTCCGTCTTCGATATAGTCTCTTGAACCTAATCATTTTGAGGTTACGAGGTTATAAATCGTGGATAAAGACATGTTTGATATACATCACAAGTACAGTATGTACATAGGTCGTCATATTTTTTTGCAATCAGTTTTATCTAGATGTGGACAAGGAAAGCACAGAGGAAACTGTAGATCCAAGTGGGCTGACTACCAAAGATGCCTTGACTCGTCTAGCAAGTGAGATACGTTGCGAGTTGGCACGGTTCGAGGTGCAACAAGCTAGGCGAGGTTTCCTTGAACAGTGAGTACTGTAATATCATCAAGAGCTAATACAACTTTTTATTAGGTATTATAAAGAGGTATTTTTAAGAGGTATTATTATTAGCTCTTGATATCGTGCATAGTTTAGCATTTCATCAAACTTCATTTTTGAATAGTCCAGGTAGTATGCAGCCATTTGGGCTAACGTTGGTCCAACGGTTGGCATCCAACATTAGCTTTACGACTATGCTCACTGCGCCAACGTTGGCCCAATGGCAATTTGCTTTATGGTTTGTACTGTACTATTTAGTTTTGTTATTATTAGCTCATCTGACGAAGTCGGATGCAGCTTGTAGAATCGCACGATCGTCTGTCCGTCCGTCCGTCCGTCCGTCCGTCCGTCCGTGCGTGCGTCCGGCCGTGCGTGCGTGCGTCAACAGTTGGGCACAAATCTTAACCGCTCGACATA